CTCTGTTTCTCTCTGTCTCTCTCTCTCTTCCATTCCACTCCTATAGCTAAGGAAGGTCCCTAGGGCTGGTAAATAATGTTGCTAAGTACAGACCAAAGAAGCCTCAGAGCTGTCCCCTGACAAAAGTTATTTTTGCTTAGCTCAGCATATCCCAAGACACAACTTCCCAGTTCCTAGTGATACCTCCCGGGAAAACCAGATGAAATATCTGCTCCCCAGGAAAAGGTGAAGACTGGTTAAGAGAGAAGGAATTGCACAGTGCCAGGAATATACTAGGCCCTTAATAAATGCTTGCTGATTGTTATAGATTGTTAATACAGGTAGTTACTTGGTAAACTAGATAGAGCCATGGACTTGCATTCAGGAAAACTTGAGTTCAAATGTGTCCTCAGACACTAAGCTATAGGATCCTGGGCAAGTCTGTTAACTTCTCAACACTTCAATTTCCTCATCTCTAAAATGGGAGTAATAATAATACCTACTTCCCAGGGTCGCTGTGAGATAATATTTGTAAAGCACTTAGCATACCTCTGGGTTTGGTGTGAAAGAAGCTGACTTGAGGTCAGCCAATATATTTGTAAAACACTTAGCACAAGGCCTGGTATATAGTAGGTGCTTAACAAGTGCTTGTTTCCTTCCCTCTCTTTCCCCCACCAATTAACCTGATCCTCCTAGAGTGGTATCTTGGCCCCAGGCTGCCCAAACAAAAACTTGGAGGAAAATCAGGATCAAGAGGCAACAGAAGATAAACTGAGGCCATAGGTAACAGTGAATATAACAGGGCTTCTTTTAAGATTTTCAAAATACTGGGCTAATGATTACTCTATTAAATATCTCCCATTATTATCTCCCATTTTACAGAAGAGGAAATTGAGGCACAGAGAGGTTAAGTAAGGTTGTCTAGGGCCACACAGCTAATATCTAAGGCAGCATCTGAGCCTAGGTCTTCCCAATGGTAACCCCAGCTGTCCTCACACCCTGTCCTTTTCCTCCCCTATACCTAACGCACATCCCATAGATCCTCGTTTCAATGAATCATCATATGGCATAAATTTCAGGCCCATCCCCATCCTTGTTGCCCTTCTCTGGTCACTCCAGGCTTTCCATTTCCATTTCTATCTCCCATGCTAGGCTGCCTCAAGAGCTGCAGGGTGGGGTATAGAGAATCAGGTAGGACTTCTTGGAGAAGGGAGACATTGATGGAAAAGAAGGGTGAGGTATCACAAGCCATAAAAGTGAAAGCTAAGAGGGGCCTTAGAGATAATCCCTTTTATAGGGATAGAGACTGAAGTTCAGAGAAGGGAAATAATTTATCAAAAGTCATAGCTAGGAATCAGCAGAGCCTGGAATTAAGCCAGGTCCTCTGCCTACAAATCCAGTTCTCTTTGCAATGAGCCTGGAGAGGTCGGGGATGGTGGGAAGGAGGCCTTTGAAGGTCAGGAGGCAAAGCTTGGACTGAAGCCAATTAGACAGATCTTGAGGGTTGGAACAATGTGGTTTCTAGTTCAATCAGAGAAACAGTGTAGTATTATAAGAAAGAGAAGAAAACAAAAGATGGAAGAAAAGAACTCGGAGAAAGGAGACTTAGGTCTAATTCTTCAACTACTAACAACCATATGCTCCAAATCACGAACATAAGAGGAATGCAAATCAAACTGATTCTGGGGTTATATTTCACATCAGTTAAACTGGCAAAGATGATAAAATATGGGAATAATCGATGGCAAAGGGGTCATGGAAGGGTACACTAATACATTGTTGGTGCAGCTGAGAATTAATCCAACCATTCTGGAAAGCAATTTGAAATAATCAATTATTCATCAGATATTTATGACTTGTTTAAAGGTTTGTGTGAGTAAAGTCACCTGGCCTCTCAAGGTGCTAAATTTGATGCAAATTGGTATGGGAATTCCCTAGACTAACGAAATTATAGGTGTAGCCTCCACACAAAGTAGAGCAAACCTTGCTATGCAAGACACTTCCATTATATCAGAGGAAATAGAAGTGCATACAGAATAAACATAGGGAGAGGGACTAGACCTCTGATTTCATTAGTACTGGGACCTCCCTGGTAAGGAAACTCCTGCCACTGATGCACATTGGCACTTTATATAGTCTCAGCTGCCTGGGACATGGAGGGGTTAAGTGATTTGCCCAGGCTCACACAGCCAGAATGGGTCAGAGGTAGAACTCATACGTGCAGTTTCCCAAGCTTTGGGATCAACTCTCCATCCACCATGCCTGGCTCATCTCCAGCAGTCTAAACCGGTCCAGCAGGTCCCACCCCTCCCAAGGCTCCAGCCCTCCAGCAGGCCCTGCCCCCAGCATAGTAAGGGCCCTCTTTAATCTTTGTCCCAAAGGAGGTGAAGGAGAAGGTGAAGAATGCTAAGAGGTCCTAGGTGGCCCCAACCTGTTTGAACACTTGTAGAAGTTGCCCCAGGTTTATTTCTCCTCCCCGACTATGACTTCTGGTCTTGTCTCTCCCTCCCACTTCCCCATCCATGTCCCTCCATTAGGCTATGCTCCCAAGGTTAGGCAAGTCCTCTAGAAGCATCCCCTGGAAGGAGATCACCTGATTGTAAGCTTCTCTAGGGCAGAAATATTCAGGGGAACTCTAATGAGCTTCAGGGGTAAAAACAAAACAAAACATTAAATCGGACCTCCCCTCTATGAGCTTACATTCTTTTGGTTAGGGGCAAGGGGAAAGCCAAGAACATATAAAATTATAGATTTAGAATTGGAAGGGGTCTTAGATTCAATTCAATACAATAAGCATTAATTAAGGGCCAGGCAGTGTTAAGTGCGAGGGATGCAAAAAGGCAAAAGACAGCCCCTGTCCCCAAGGAGCTTGCAGTCTAATGAGGGGGAGGGGACACAACACGCAAACAAACATCTGCAAAGCAAACTATAGACAAAATAAATGGAAATAGTTAAAAGAAGGAAAGCATTGGAATTAAAAGGGGTTAGGGAAGGCTTCCTGTAGAAGGTGAGATTCTAGAAGCCAGTTAGTCTCATTTTACAGGAGAGGAAACTGAGGCCCACACAGGTTAAATGACTTGCCTAAAGTGTCAAAAGTAGTCATTGGCAGAGCCAATATTTGAATGTAGGACCTCTCACTCCAAACCCATTAAGTGTTTCCTCAAGTATAATATGGGGATAATAATAGCACTTGCCTCCCAGGGTTATTGTGAGGATCAAATAAGATATCTGTCAATGTTTAGCACGTTGTTGTTGTTCAGTCATTTCAGTTGTGTCTGATTCCCCATGAGCCCATTTGGGGTTTTCTTGGCAGAGATACTGGAGTGGTTTGCCATTTCCTTCTCCAGCTCATTTAACAGATGAGGAAACTGCGGCAAACTGGGTGAAGTGACTTGTCCAGGGTCACACAGCTAGTAAATGTATGAGGCTGGATTTGGACTCGGGAAGATGAGTCTTCCTATGCTCTGTGGTTCCACTTAGCAGCCTATGCTTAGCTTAATATCTAGTATGTAGTAGATGCTTAATAAATGTTTTCTTCAAACAACTTCCGTTTTTCCCAATCTTTGGAATTGTTTCTTTGAAGAAAAAGTTCTTAAAAATAAGAGGTATGGAAAAGTAATGTGGGCTCCCACAGGAGGTAAAAGGTTCCCATTCATTGGAGGTCTTCAAAGCAAAACCTGACTCAGGCCCCTTTTTGGATAAGATGGAGGTGGGAGTCTTCTCCATTATTTTCTTGTTCATACACGGTTGGACTAGATGGTCTTGGGGACCCCTTTCAAGTCTGAGACTCTCAATCAATGAGAATGAGATGCCAGGTACTGAGCTAGGAGTTAGTGGCATATGGACTAGACAAAGAAAAAAACAAACCAGCTCTTGCCCCCCAAGGAATTTACATTCTATTTTGGTTGATGTTTCTGGCCCAGGGTAGACAAGGGACATGGTATACAGGTAGGAACACTATCCTCAGGTAAGGAGAATCAGGGTCTTTCTCTGGAAATGGGATGATGGTCTGGCCTCTCAATGGGCAGCCACAAAAGCCTTCCTTGATCTCACCAGTCACTGCCATTTGGGGGCAAAAGGATATTCAGGGGAAGAAGGTACCTTTGAGTCTCCCTGAACTCAGGGAGGTGAGGCCACAGAGCCTATGTCTCAAGCACTCCTCACTAACAGCCTGCAGAGGGGTCATTGGTGAAGATGGGGGAGGGGGAAGGGACCAGGTAAAGCTGTAGATGAAGCTCAGAGTGACAGAGCTGGACAGGCCCTGGGACAGGGTCTAGTACAACTCTCACCTGAAGCAAGAATCTTCTCCTACATTGTCACCAACAGGGGTCGTCACCCAGCCTCTCCTTGAATACTTTCAGTGATGGGGAGATCACTCTTCTTGCTTCAAATCAATGGTTGCCCCTAGCTCTGTCATTCTCTTTTTTGTTCTAAGGACCCTCTCAGCTCTGACATTCACTAAGGGCCTTCTACCTCTGGTATTCTGGGTCCTATGGGCCCTGCCAGTTCTTTTGTTCTAGGATCTGTTTTCCTCCTTGGGAACGGCTACCACCTTGACAACCCATGGTCACATGAGACAGCACTGGGCTGATCTAGTCTGTCTAAGGCAGGTGCTGGACAGACTGGGACACCTGGGTCTCTTATGCCAAGGAAGATTCAGGCAGTAGCCAGCATATTAGATGAGAACTGCCCAACCAATGGCTTCTCACCTACCCCCTAACCCCCAATTCCCAGGACCTCTGGGTGGCAAATACAGTGAAAATAGTGCTGGACATGGAATCAGAAAACCTGAGCTCTAGGCTCAGCTCTGTCATTGACTCACCATGTAATCTTGGGTAAGTCTCCTCCTATTTTGAGGCCTCAGTTTCTCTATCTGTAAGATGAAGTGGTTAGAATTCCTTAAGGTCTCATAGTTATGACATTCTCTATTTCTAAAAATTGATGATCTGGGTGCACTGACTCCATTAACCATGGTTTGCCCTGCCAATTCCACTTGAGACATTTGGTGAATTATCCTCAAGATGCTGGCCACCCTGTACAAGTCATTTTGGAAGGCTGAGTACTGGCTCCCTCCCGGGTACACTTGGGCTGATTTGGAAGATTCAGATGGCATCATATACCCTCATCCTAAAGACCTGCTGGCAGCCATTCCCCTGACATTTATCTTAATAGTCATTAGATATGGCACTGAGAGGTGAGTCAGCTGCGGAGAATTTCCCCTTACTCCCTTTAAAAAAAAATTAAAATTTTGTTGATGTCTTTTGTTTTTAGAAAACCTTTCCTGTGAAAAAAAACTTTCCATCAAATATCTTTGATTAAAAATTCAATGTATAAATATCTATATTGTGCCTTATTACCCTACCGTACCATAAACTTCTTAAGGGTAAGGATGATACCTTAAAGTCTGTTATCTCCCACTTGCTCTGGGCACTGGCTTGGTAACACAATAGGGGCTTTCCAGATACTTAATGAATTTCATGGGGGGGAGAATGTTTGCTCTTTGACTGTGGCCCAGCATCTTGACAAGCCCATCTCATCCATTGAAAGGGATCTTCCTGTCCCCTTTCCTGACAGTCCAGAAGACCTTCCCATAAGGGAAGGTTAGGCATCCAATATGTGCCCCACAGGCACTCCTCCCTCTTCATTCATCCTGCTCCCATGCTCTATCTCCCCCAGGGTATGCCAAGTTCGTTGTGGTAGGTCAGTTGGTGGGCAAGATTTGGTAGAGAGCTCCCAAAGGGCCATAAATGGGAGAGTTCCTGTGTACTCAGCTCCTCCTGTCTCCTCTCACAGGATCATAGGGCTGCCCTTAAGTAGAGCCATGGGTGTGCGTGACCCCCTCAGGATCAAGGCTACTCCCAACCGCATCCTGGAGTCATTTTTCTGGACCCAGAGTAAGAATCCCAAAAAGGTAAGCAGGCCACAGGTATGGATGCCATTAAGGATCCTGGGAGGTTTAAGTCTCCATCTCCCTCAGCAGGGCAGTCTCTGATGTTCAGTGGTCCTTGAATAAGAAGTGGGGGAGATGGGAGGTGCTATGTACCTAGGGCTCACTCAGATACCTGCTCTCTGTGTTCCTGTTTCTTCTAGAGAGGGTGATACTCTGAGCATCAAGTTCTACCAAACTCTAACTTCAGAGAAGATTAAGAGTTCACTAGAACTGGGTTCTAATTTCACCTCTGTCACTGACTTGTTTTGTGACCTTAATCAAGTCACTTGAATTTTTTTTGGAGCCTTAGTTTTCTCACCTGTAAAATGAAGGGATGATCTCTAAGGTCAACCCCAGTTTTCCCATTCTATGTTCTGTAGACATGGTTTTCTCGCTAAGAGTCATCCCCAATATCTCGTCTCCATATTCAATCAGTCGCCAAGTCTTGTTGATTCTGTTTCCATAACATTTCATGAAACCATCCCCTTCTCTCCACTCCTCCCACAGCCACTTTAATTTAGGTCTTCATCACCTTTACCCCCATCCCGACTATTGCAATGACCTCCTAATGTGTTCCATTGTTTTCACTGTCCTCCCTTCTACCGTCCATGCTCCACACAGCCACCTATCAGTCATGTCTGACCGTGCCACCTCTCTGCTCTCCTGAATGATTCTCTGTTGACTCCAAGTTAAATACAAACAGTTCTTTTTGACCTATAAAGCCCTTTACAATTGGACTCCAGTCTGCCTTTTGAGACTTACTCCACATCATTACCCCACACACTGTGCTCTAGCCAAATTCACCTACTAACTGTTATTTGTATCTGACGTTCCATCCCTCACGCCCATGCAATTATATAGGCTGGCTCCCATGTCTGACATGTTCTCCTTACCCAGGAATGTTCTCACTTCTCCACTGTGGAAACTCCAGCCCCTTTTAAGGCTTCTACCTCCTTCAAGAAACTTTTCCCAATTTTCCCAATTATTAATATTCTCCTGAAATTGCTTTGTATTTATTTACATCTATTTTGTATTTAGTTACATGTACACATCATGTTTCCCCCAATAGAATGTAAACTCAAGGTGGAAAATGGTTAGTTTTCATCTTTCCATAGTGTCTGACATGTTGGTTTCAGAGACTCTTCCTCAGTGTGGACCTCCTTTTCCCCAAAGGGCATCATGGCTATGGCAGGGCCAAGGTGTGGCCTAGGTAATGCTTTTATTGGGGGAGTTGTGCCCCAGTCTGGGGCAGGAAGGGGAGTCCTAGGGAAGAAGGCAGCCCCTTGGACCCTGCCTGGAGACTAGGCTCAAGAACATGCCATGCTCTGGGAAGCCACCAGGTCCCTGGGGAGCAGAATGGACACTCTCTTATTAGGGAGACTATGTGAGCTTAGGGGAGAGGGCAGTCACGGGAAGCTAAGGTCCTCCCTTTGTCCATCCTACCCCTAATCTTCTCCTCTGGTGTCCAGGATGAGCTAAGTCACCTGGCCAGCCAATGCAGCCTCTCTGTGAGGCAAGCTGAGCGCTGGTTTCGACGCCGGAGAAACCAAGAGCGACCATTACTGAGCAAGAAATTCTCTGAATCCTGGTGAGTTGGGGGAACCCAATGGAAGACTAGCTCCAAGGCATGTAGATTTAGGTCAATAGGCCATGGAACCAGGCCTGACTTGGAAAGCAGGTGCTCCACAATTTGTTCGTCTCTCTACCCACTCCCTCCATCCCCAGCAAGATGACTTTATCCATTCATCTCTACTCCTGTTCTGTATTTTCAGTTCAAGATTTTTATTTCACTCCTGTTTTTCTTTTGGAGGCTTGTTCATCTTCTGCAATGTGAGTATGTCCTGTCCCATCCCTACCATATGACCATCCCTCCTCATTTTGCTCCTCATCCTCTCCATTCCCATTGCCTTTGTCCTTCCGCCTTTTTCTGCTCACTCATCCTCTTCCATCTTCCTCCAATTCCTTCTATGCCCTCATTTTTTCTCTCCCTGTCCTCTTTGTTCTCTGTTTCCACATTGTTCACTTTGTCCCATCTTGCTTTGCCCCTTCTTCATGTCCATTCCCATGTCCCCATACTCATCATCCCTCTCACTTTACCCTTTTTGAATTCTTGTCCTCTCCATCTCTCACTCTCTTCGTCACTTCCCCCCCTCCATCCCTTGTCCTATCTCTTCTCTGTCCCCCAATTCTTTCCACTCCCATTCCCTTGATTTTCCTATTCTTGATTCTGCTTCTCCGTTCTCTGCCTTCTTAGGCTCCCCACACTCACTTTATCTTCACTGTCTTTCTCTCTCATCCTGTTCCCTTCTCTTCTTATCTATTTCATTGCCACCCCACCCCTACCTTGATCCCAATCCATTCCCCCCATCAACCCTAAATCATGTCCTTCATCTTCTTATATCACCCCATATCATAGCTGTCTAAATGCAATGCATCTGGATTGGTCAGTCTGACCAATAGACAGGGTGAGTAAGAAAAGAACTGAATCAGAAATAGTGCCCTCGATCACAGAAATGAGAGTTTCAGAGGGAGCAAGTCCAGCCTTCATTGGGGAGGGGAGGAGAAAGGAGTCAATCATAGAATCCCAGGAATTGAGAATTGGAAAGACCTCAGCAGCCATCTTGTCCAATTCATATAGGAAAGAAGTCCACACTATAACATACCTGACAAATGGCCATATCCCAGCTTTGGCTTGAAAACCTCCATGTAGGGGGAACACATCACCCCCCAGAGTAGCCCCTTCCACTTTGGGACGGGTCTCACTATTAAGAAGTTTTTTCCTGAGATCAAGCCAAAACTGGCCTCTTTGTAACTTCCACCTATTACTCCTGGTTCTGCCTTCTGGGATCAAGCAGCATCCCTCCTTTTCATGACAACTGACTTGGAGACAATCATCACATTCCCCTTGAGTCTTCTCCAGGCTAAACATGCTCAGTTTTTCTAGTAGATCCTCATGTGACATGAATTCAAAGCCTTTCCCCAACCAATCAAGGGCCAAGTCTTGCTGATTCTATTTCCATAACATCTCTAGAAACCATCTCCTCTCCACTCCCACCAGAGCCTCTCTATTTCAGGTCCTCATCACCTCTGCTCCCCACTATGGCAATAATCTCCTAATTGGTTCTGGGGCCCCCACTGTGTCCCTTCTAACAGTCCATCCTCCTCACAGACTTTCCTAAAGCTTTTATATGACCATATCACTTCCCTCCTCGAGATACTTAAAGGATTCCCTATTGCCTCTAAAATAAAATACAAACTGCTCTCTTTGGCCTGTAAAGTCCTTCACAGTTTGGCTTTAATCTCTTTTGAGGGTTATCACATATAAGCACCCATCATATTCTAGACACCATATTCTTTTTTTTTTTTTTTTTGGCTTTTTGGTGAGGCAGTCAGGGCTAAGTGACTTGCCCAGGGCCACACAGCTAGTAAGTGTCAGGTGTCTGAGGTCAGATTTAAACTCAGGTCCTCCTGACTCCAAGCCTGGAGCACTATGCACTGCACCACCTAGCTGCCCCTAGACACCATATTCTAGACAAATCCACCTATTTCTTGTTACTGGTTGCCCTCTTCTGGACACTCCCCAGCTTATCCATTTCCTTCTTAAACCACGGTGCATAGAACTACACCTAATCCTCCAGGTGAGGTCTAATGAGAACAGAATAGAATTCTATTACTCCTCCCTGTTCCTGGAAGCTATACCCCTCTTAAGCCAGTCCAATGTCCAATTAGCTATTTCTGCCATATTACACTGCTAAAACCTTTAAACCCTTTTTTTTGAGAAAGGAAAACTAGTTACATGCTCCAATCATTTGGAAGCTTCATAGTTTGACAGAACTCTCTAACCCAGCCCATACTCCCTACCTATTCTAGAGTTAACAGAGGGACCAGATGCTAATGATCTGGAGGGATATAGAAAGGAACTAAGGGTCAAACCTTTCATCTAAACAGGGGTTATACCTCATAAGTTTGATTCTGACTTGTTCAGAACCTGGCAAGGAGGAGGTCAGGATAAGGATAGGAGATGATGTAAGGTGGTAATGCATCATTCCTGCTGAATACATGGCTCAAGGATATGGGGAGGAGCCATTATTTGTGGGGACTAGTGATTCTGAAAGCAATATCTAGAACATGTCACTTGTTTCTTCTAGAAAACTTGGTTTGGCCAGCCAGAGACAATATGGAATGGGTACCCTAAGCAGGTAAGCTGTCCCTGGACAAGAACCAGTGCCAAATTTGTCCACAGAAACAAGCCCTGGGAATGATGATGATGATGAAAGCTAGTATTTATAAAGCACTTTAAGGTTTGCTAAGCACTTCACAAATATTATATCATTTGATTCTCACAACAACTCTGTGGGAGGTGAAATGATTATCCTCATTTTATAGACGAGGAACCTGAGACAGACAGAGGTTAAGTGACTTGCCCAAGGTCACACAGCTAGTAAGTTCCGAAGCTGAATTTGAATGCAGGTCTTCCTGACTCCAGTACACCATCCAATGCACCTCATAGTGGTCAGAAATGAATGTATTTGCTGCATACTCTTTCCCTCTTCCTATCCTTATTCCAAACCCTCTACCTTCAGAATCACAGAATCTCAAAGCTGAAAAGGACCAGAATGGCTGTCATAACTGAACAAAATTCTCCTTTATAACTACTCAAAAAATGTTCACCTCACCTCTACTTGAAATTCTCCAGGGAGGGTAAGCCCTATATTTTCCAAGGCAGCCCAGTCTACTTTCGGAAACTCTCTTTGTTAAGAAGTTTGTTCTTACATCAAACCAAAATCTGGCTGTCTGTAGCTTCCTTCCACTGAACCTAGTTCTTCCCTCTGGAGTTGTCTTCTACATGATAGCCCTCCAAGTATTTACAGACATTAACCATGTCCTCCATTTATTTTGTTTTCTCCAAGCTAAATATACTCAATTATTTTAATAAATCTTGATCATAATCAGTGTGACCCCAAGGCCCATAACCATCCTGATTATTCTCCTTTATAACCTTCTCAGTTTTTAAAAGTCTTTTTTAAAATATGGCACCTGGAACTCAACACTGTGGCCAAATCAGACTCGTTATAATTCCTTCCTTACCTGCAATTGATTGTCTTTGGCACTCCCTACAAAAGTTCTTTTCATCCCTCATTGAGCTGCCAATACCACCCCCTTCACACATCCTGATTCAGCTGAGGACCTTGTCCCATATTTTATTGAGAAAAGAGGCCATTTGCCATGACCTCCCTCTTTTTCCCTTGGCCATATCTCAAAATGCCTGAACAACATTCCCCTTTTCCTCTTCTCTATGTCTCTAAAGAAAAGATTATTCTTCTCACCGAAACCAACCCCTCTACAAAGTCCTTTGGTTTCATCCCCTCCTGTCTCCTTCAACAAATTGCTCCATAGTTATTTGCAAAAGGACTTACTTAGTGTTGAATATTATTCCACTCATAATTTAGACTAATACTGAATTAATTCTTTTGGTCGCCTCATTATATTGCTGACTCATATTCAGCTTGCAGCCTACTAAAACCCCCAGATATTTTTCAGATAAATTGATAACTAACAACCTCTACCCCATATTGTACTCATGAATTTGATTTTTTAAACTTTTATGCTTTAACATTTAAGATTTTATGTTTACCATTTTAAAATAATATTTTATTTTTCCCTAGTTTCATATAAAGACAATTTTTAACATTCATTTTAGAATTTTTGAGTTCTAAATTTTCTCTCTCCCTTCCTTACCTCTCCCTCCATGAGATATAAGCAATTTGATATAGATTATACATGTTCAAACTTGCAAAACATATTACCATATTAGACATGTTTTAAAAGAAACCACATACCCAAAGCATGAAAAAGTACAGAAAGTGAAAAATGGTATGCTTCAATCTGCATCCAGATTCCATCAGTTCTTTCTCTGGAGGTGGGTAGCACTTTTCATTATGAGTCCTTTGGAATTGTCTTGGGTCATTGTATCACTGAGAATAGCTAAGTTATTTACAATTAGTCATCATACAGTGTTGTTGTTATTACGTACAATGTTCTCCCAGTTCTGTTTACTTCACTTTGCATCAGTTTATATAAGCATTTCCAAGATCTTCTGAAATCTGCCTGTTCATCATTTTTTATAACAAAGTAATAATCCCTTACAATCATATACCACAATTTGCTCTTCCATTCCCCAGTTGATGGGCATCCCCTCAATTTCCAATTTTTTGTCACTACAAAAAGAGTGGCTATAAACATTTTTGTACAAGTAGGGCCTTTCCCCTTTTTTAAATCTCTTTTGGATATTGCTGAATCAAAGGATTTGCACAGTTTTATTGCTCTTTCAATCTAGTTCTAAATTGCTCTCCAGAATGATTGGATCAGTTCACAACTCCACTAACAGCACATTGATTCCCAATTTTCCCACATCCCTTCCAACATTTGTTATTTTCCTTTCTGTCATATTAGCCAATATGATAGGGATGAGGTGGTTCCTCAGAGTTGTTTTACTTTGCATTTCTCTAATCAATAGTGATTTAGAGCATTTTTATATGACTATAGATAGCTATGATTTCTTTTTTAAATTAATTTATTAATTTTTAGTTTCCAACATTGTTTTCACAAGATTTCGAGTTCCAAATTTTCTCCCCATCTCACCCCTTCTCCCACCCCAAGAGGGCATACATTCTGAATACCCCTCCCCCTAATCTGCCCTCCCTTCTTCCCCCTCCTTCTCTTATCCCCTTCCCCTTCTATTTTCTTGTAGGGCAGGATAGATTTCTATACTCCATTGCCTGTGTATCTTATTTCCCAGTTGCATGTGAAAACAATTTTTAACATTTGTTTTTAAAACTTGGGGTTCCAAATTCTCTCCCTTCCTCCCTCTCCATTCACCCTCATTGAGAAGGCCAGCAATTCAATACAGGTTATACATGTGTAGTCATGCAAAACACTTCCATAGTAGTCATGTTGTGAAAAAACTAATTATATTTCCCTTAATCCTACCCCACCCCCCCCACTTATCCTATTCTCTCTTTTGACCCTGTCCCTCCTCAGAAGTGTTTGCTTCTGATTAGCCCCTCCCCAAATCTTCCCTCCCTTCTATCATCCCCCCCACCTCTTATCCCCTTCCCCCTTATTTTCCTGTAGGGTAAGATAGATTTCCATACCCAATTGAGTGTGTATGGTATTTCTTCTTTAAGCCAAATCTGATGAGAATAAGATTCACTCATCCCCTCTCACCTTTCCCCATTCCCCTCCATTGTAAAAGCCTTTTCTTGTCTGTTTTCTGTGAGACAATTTATCTTATTTTATCTCTCCCTTTCTCCTTCTCCTAGTATAATCTTCTCTCACCCCTTAATTTTATTCTCCAGATATCACCCCTTCATCTTCAACTCACCCTGTGCCATCCATCTATCTATCTAATCCATCTACATATAATTTTTTTCCCCTCTAACTACTCTAATACTGACAAAAGTCTCATGAGTTACAAATATCATCTTTCCATGTAGGAATATAAACAGTTCAACCTTAATAAGTCCCTTATGATTTCTCTTTCCTGTTTACCTCTTCATGCTTCTCTTGAGTCATGTATTTGAAAGTCAAATTTTCTATTCAGCTCTGGTCTTTTCATCAAGAATGCTTGGAAGTACTCTATTTCATTGAATGTCCATTTTTCCCCCTGAAGAATTATACTCAGTTTTGCTGGGTAGGTGATTCTTGGCTGTAATTCTTTCTCTTTTGACCTCTGAAATATTATATTCCAAGCCCTCTGGTCCCTTAATGTAGAAGCTGCTAAATTTTGTGTTATCTTGATTGTGTTTCCACAATACTTGAATTGTTTCTTTCTGGCTGCTTGCAATATTTTCTCCTTGACCTGGGAACTCTGGAATTTGGCTATAATATTCCAGAGGGGTTTTCCTTTGGGGATCTCTTTCAGGAGGTGATCAGTGGATTCTTTTGATTACTATTTTACCCTCTGATTCTAGAATATCAGGGCAGTTTTCCTTGATAACTTCTTGAAAGATGATGTCTAGGCTCTTTTTTTGATCATGGCTTTCAGATAGTCCAATAATTTTAAAATGATCTCTCCTGGATCTATTTTCCAGGTCAGTTGTTTTTCCAATGAGATATTTCACATCATCTCCTATTTTTTCATTCTTTTGGTTTTGTTTTACAATGTCTTGATTTCTCATAAAGTCAGTAGCTTCCATTTGCTCCATTCTAATTTTTAAGGAAGTATTTTCTTCAGTGGGCTTTTGGACTTCCTTTTCCATTTGACCAATTCTGTTTTTTAAGGCATTCTTCTCCTCATTGACTTTTTGAACCTCTTTTGCCATTTGGGTTAGGCTATTTTTTAAGGTGTTATTTTCTTCAGTATTTTTTGGGTCTCCTTTAGCAAGCTGTTGACTTGTTTTTCATGATTTTCTTGCATCACTCTCATTACTCTTCCCAGTTTTTCCTCTACTTCTCTTACTTACTTCTCAAAATTCTTTTTGAGCTCTTCTATGGCCTGGGACTGATTCCTATTTTTCTTGGAGGCTTTGGATGTGGGAGCTTTGATTTTGTTGTCTTCTTCTGGCTGTATGTTTTAATCTTCTTTGTCACCAAAGAAAGATTCCATGGTCTGACTTTTTCTTGCACTGTTTACTCATGTTCCCAGCCACTTACTTGAGTTTTAAACTCTTTGTTAAGGTAGGGGTCTGCTTCCAGTGTGGAGAATGTACTGTCTTAAGCATCAGGAGGTTTTGTGCATTTGCTTTCAGAAATACTTCTAGGGACCTGTAAATTTTCAGTTCTTCCAAGGTAGTAAGATCAAATGCAAAGTGTTTACTCCTTTCCTGGCCTGTACTCTGGTCCATGAGTGATGACAAGCACTCTTTTCTGCCTTGGAACTATGAGGAAGATTCCCTCTCCACTGCCACTACAAGCTCCACCATGCCAGCGCTCCTCCTTGCCCTACAACCGCTACCCAGAACTGCAACCTAGATCCGAGCATGGGCAAAGCAAGAGAATCCTGCCTCAGCACTAGCAAAGAGATCCCTGCAATCACCCTCTGATCAGCCACTTGATTCCCACTCTTTCTGTGGTCCAAGAACTCTGGAAACAGTCACCGCCCCAGGGTTGTGCTGGGACTGCAGCTGGGACCAAGCTTCTCTCTCATCATGGTCCAACAGACCTTTCCTACTGACCTTCTAAGTTGTCTTTGGTGTTTGTGGGTTGAAAAGTCTGAAGACAACCACAGCTTCTTGTTATTCAGTCCCCTGGGGCCTCCTCCAGGTTTGCTGAGGCCCAGATCTTTGCTGGTGGTGTGGCCCACACTGAACTGTGCTTCTCTCCCAGCCTGGTGCAACAGACTTTTCCAATCAACTATCCAGGTTGTCTTGGGCTGGAAATTTGTTTCACTCTGCTTTTTGTGGGTTCTGCTGCTCTAGAATTTGTTTAGAGCCATTCTTTATAGGTATTTGGAGGGGTTTGGGGGAGAACTCAAGCAAGTCACTGCTTTTACTCTGCCATCTTGGCTCTGCCCCTGATAGCTTTGATTTCTTCATCTGAAAACTGCCTCTTTATATCCTTTGACCATTTATCAATTGGGGAATGACTTTTATTCTTATGAATTTGACTCAGTTCTCTGTATAATTGAGAAATGAGGTCTTTCTCAGAAATACTTGTTATAAAAATTGTTTCCCTTCTTTCTGCTTTCCTTCTAATCTTGATTGCATTGGTTTAGTTTATGTAAAACCTTTTTAATTTAATGCAATCAAAATTATCCATTTTGCATTTCATAATGTTCTCTAGCTCTTGTTTGGTCATAAATTCTTCCCTTCTCCATAATTCTGACAGGTAAACTATTCCTGGCTCTCCTAATTTGCTTATGGTATCACCCTTTACGTTTAAATCACATACCTATTTTGATGTTATCTTGATTTATTGTCTAAGATGTTGCTCTCTACCTAGTTTCTGCCAAACTGCTTTCCAGTTTTCCCAAAAGCTTTTGCTGAACAAAGAGTTTATGTCCCAAAAGTTGGGGTCCTTGGGTTTATGAAACACTAGATAACCATAGTCATTTACTACTGCATCCTGTGTGGTTATTCTCTTCCACTGATCCACCACTCCAATATCAGATAGTCCGGATGAATATCACTTTATAATACAGTTTGAGATCTGGTATGGCTAGGTCACCTTTCTTCACATTTGTTTTAGTTAATTCCCTTGATGTTCTCGACCTTTTGTTCTTCCTGATGAATTTTGTTGTTATTTGTCTAACTCTATAAAATAATTTTTGATAGTTTGATATGGCACTGCATAAGTAAATTAGTTTAGGTAGAATTGTCCTTGTTGTTATATTGGCTCAACCTACCCATGAGCAATTGATATTTTTCCAATTGTTCAGATATGACTTTATTTGTATGAAAAGCATTTTGTAATTGTGTTTATATGGTTCTTGGGTTTGTCTTGGTAGGTAGCCTCCCAAGTATTTTATAGTGTCTACATTTATTTTAAATGGAATTTTCTCTTTCTGTCTCTTGCTGTTGGATTTTGTTGGTAATATACAGAAATGCTAATGGTTTATGTGGGTTTATTTTATATCCTCTAACTTTACTAAAGTTGTTAATTATTTCAAGTAGTTTTTTAGTTGATCTCTAGGATTCTCTGAGTATACCATCATATCATCTGCAGAGTGATGGTTTTGTTTCCTCGTTGTCTGTTTTAATTCTTTCAATTTTTTTTTCTTCTCTTATTGCTATAGCTAACATTTCTAGTACAATATTGAATAATAGTGGTGATAATGAGCTTTTTTGTGTCCCTCCTGATCTTATTGGGAAGGCTTCTAGCTTATCCTCATTATAGGTAATGCTTGCTAATGGTTTTAGATAGATACTACTTATTATTTTAAGGAAGACTTCATTTATTCCTATGCTCTCCAGTGTTTTTAAGGGAATTGGTACTGTATTTTTCAAAAGCTTTTTCTGTACCTGTTGAGATAAGCATACAGTTTCTATTGGTTTTGTTATTGGTATAGTAAATTATGCTGATAGTTTTCCTAATATTGAACCAGCCCATCATTCCTGGTACATATTCCACCTGGTCATACTGTGTGATCTTTGTGATATATTGCTTTTATCTCCTTGCTAATATTTTATTTAAAATTTTTGCATCCATATTAGTTGGGGAAATGTATCCATAGTTTTATTTCTCTGTTTTAGCTCTTCATGAGGTACCAGCACCACATTGGTGTCATAAAATTATTGTCATACAATTGGACAGAGGAGTTCGCAATTATTGCTTTAATTTCCTCTTCATTGGTGGTGAATTCACCCTTTTCATTTTTGATCCTAATAATTTGGTTTTCTTCTTTTTTTAAATTACCCAATGGTTTATCTATTTTATTGGGGTTTTTTTTTTCATAAAACCACTCATAGTTTTATTTATTAGCTTAATAGTTTTCTTTCAATTTTATTAATCACTCATTTGATTTTCAGGATTTCTAATCTGGTGTTTAATTGGGAATTTTAACTTGTTCTTTTTCTAAGTGTTTTTTTTAGTTGCATACCCAATTCATTGGTTTGTCCTTTCTCTATTTTATTGATGTAAGAGTTTAGAGATATAAATTTTCACCTAAGTACTATTTTGGCTGCGTCCCATAAATTTTGGTATGTTGTTTCATTGTTGTCATTGTCTTTAATGAAATTATTGATTGTTTCTATGATTTGTTCTTTTACCCACTCATTCTTTAGGATTAGATTACTAAGTTTCCAATTAATTTTTATCTTTCCAAGGCCCTTCATTACATGTAATTTTTCTTGCATTATGATCTGAAAAAGATGTATTTAATATTTCTTCCTTTTTGCATTTGATTGTGAGGTTTTTATGCCCTAATACATGGTCAGTTTTTGTGTAGGTGCCATGTACTGCTAAGAAAAAAGTATAATCCTTTCCCCATTCAGTTTTCTCCAGAGGTCTATCATATCTAACTTTCCTAAAATTCTATTCACCTCCTTAACATCTTGCTTGTTTATGTTGTGGTTAGATTTATCTAACTCTGAGAGGGGGGAGTTGAGGTCCCCCTCTAGTATAGTTTTACTATTTCCTCTTGTAACTCATTTAACTTCTCTTTTAAAAATTTGGATCCTTTACCATTTGGTGAATATATGTTTAGGGCAGTTTTCCTTGAGGCAATAGGGGTTAAGTGACTTGCCCAGGGTCACACAACTAGTAATTGTCAAGTGTCTGAGACTGCATTTGAACTCAGGTCCTCCTGACTCCAAGGCCAAAGCTCCATCTACCGCACCACTTAGCTGCCTCCCTATAGTCTTTTAATGTAGAAGCTGCAAGGTCTTGTGTAATCCTGACTGTGGTTCCATGATATTAATATGGGGATAAGAAAAGTGGGGGAGAGATAGAAGAGAGGGCAAATTAGGGGAAGGGGTATTCAGAATGCATGCCATTTTGGGGTGGGGAGGGCTGAGATGGGGAGAAAATTTGGAACTCAAAATCTTGTGGAAGTGAATGTTGAAAACTAAAAATAAATTAAAGAAAGAGGAAAGTAACTTGGTAAAAAAAGAAAAAGAAAGTCCTCTATTTCATTGATTATCCATTTTTTCAGGGCAGCTAGATGGCACAGTGGATAGAGCACCAGTCCTGAAATCAGTAGGACCTGAGTTCAAATCTGGCCTCAGATCAAACACTTGACACTTACTAGCTGTGTGACCCTGGGCAAGTCACTTAACCCCAATTGCCTTAAAAAAAAAAAAAAAAGATTATCCATTTTTTCCCCTGAAAGATTATACTCAGTTTTGCTGGGTAGGTGATTCTTGGTTTTAATCCTAGGTCCTTTGCCCTCTGGAATATCAAATTGCAAGCCCTCTGATCCTTTAATGTAGAAGCTGCTAAATCTCGCACCATACTGATTGTGGTTCCACAATACTTGAATTATTTCTTTCTGACTACTTGCAATATTTTCTCCTTTACCTGGGAACTCTGGAATTTGGCTATAATGTTCCTGGGAGTATTCATTTTGGGATCTCTTTCTGGAGGTAATTAGTGGATTCTTTCAATTTCTATTTTACCCTCTGGTTCTAGAATATCAAGGCAGTTTTCCTTGATAATTTCTTGAAAGATGATGTGTAGGCTCTTTTTGTTTTTATTGTGGCTTTCAGGTAGTCCAATAATTTTAAAATGATCTCTCCTGAATCTGTTTTCCAGATCAGTTGTTTTTCCAATGAGATATTTCACATTGTCTTCTATTTTTTCATTCTTTTGGTTTTGTTTTATAATTTCTTGATTTCCCATAGAGTCATTAGCTCCCATTTGCTCCATTCTAATTTTTAAGGAATTATTTTAAGGAATTTGTACCTCCTTTTCCATTTGGACAATTCTACTTTTTAAGGAGTCATTTTCTTCAGTGAATTTTTGTACATCTTTTTCTATTTTTTGTGCTTCCTGTACCAAGCAGTTGACTCTTTTTTCATGATTCTCTTGCATAACTCATTTTTTTTTCCCAATTTTTCTTCCACCTCTGATTTTTAAAACCCTTTTTGAGCTCTTCCAGTTCTTTTTGGGCCTGAGACCAATTCACATTTCTCTTTGAGGCTTCACATACATGCATTTTGATTTTGCTGTCCTCTTCTGAGTTTGTGTTGTGATCTTCCTGTTAGCATAGTAGCTTTCTATGGTCAGGGTTTTTTTTTTTTTTGCTCAAGTTGAACTCTGCCCCTGAGGTACAAGGGACTGTCCCAAGCTTCTTATGTGAATACCAAGGGCCTGGCCACTGGCCTGATGCACTGGGGCCTCCTGTTGCTGGCAGCTCACCTGTTGCACCAGGATGTCCAGGCCTGACATGCTTTGCCAGGATTGTTGGGCCTGGCCACTCACCTGTTGAACTGCGGGGTTGGAGGGGGTGCTGAAAGCCTCACAGCTAGCCCATTTTGCCACTGACCCACTGTGCTGGGGCCACAGGGCCTCAGTTGCTGATCTGTGGTAGGGCTAGGGGCCTCCCACTGACTTGCCTGGACACCGCCTACACTGGGCTGTGCTCCCCTTATACCCAAATGAGACAGCCTTTCTTTTAATCTTTCTAAGTTGTCTTGGGTTGGAAAATTGTTTCGCTCTGTCCTTTTGTGGATTTTTCCTCTCCAGAATTCATTTTGAGGCATGGTTAAAATTGTTTGGAAGAGAACATGGGAGAGCTCATGCAAGTTCCTGCCTTTTCTCCACCATCTTGACTCTGCCTCCTATATTTACACTTCATAAATTTCACCTTATTCATTTTATCTAGATATCCTAGACTGTCAGGATTTCTCCGGATCCTAACTGTCATCAAGTTGGCTAGCCATCTCCTAGGTTGGTGTCATCCGAAATTTTATTAGCCTGTCATCTGTGCCTTTATCCAACTCATTGATTTAAAAAAAAAAAAAGTTATGTTAAACAGCACAGGACCAACCATTAATCCTGGGATATCTCACTGGAGGCTTCTTCCAAGTCCATGTAAAACTATTATTAAATGATGACTCCTAAAATTCTAGCTATTCAACTATCTCTGAATCCACCTAACTGTACCATTTAGAAGTTTATCTCTCCTCTTTTCTACAAGAATATCCTGAGAGATTTTTTCAAATGCTTGTCTAAGCTTTGGGTCAACTCTCTATAGCATTTTCCTAACTTTCCAGTTTGGTAACCTTTTCAGGAAAAAAAAAAAAGGTTAGTTGTTATATTCTGTAACTTCAATTATGCCCTCACTGCAATCTCCTTGCAATTAATAGTCCTGGGCATTCTCCACAACAACTATCCCAATTATTTTCTTCTCTCCTTGAGCTGCCCAGGTCACCCCTTTTACATACCCTGACTTAAAGGAGGACTTTGTCTCAATTTACTGACAAAAGTTAGGCCAATCACCATGAGCTCCCTCTTCTTCCCTTGTCCATATCTCAAAACTCCTTCATATCATCCCCTATTCTCTCCTCTATATGTCTCTACTAAAGAGATGGCCCTTCTCAGCAGGGCCAGTCCCTCTACAAGTTGCCTTGATCTCATCCCCTTTTTTTCCTTCAATACTGTCACCTAAATATCCCTTCTCTAATCTACACTCTCTACCTACTGGCTTTTTCCTCACCCCCTACAAACATATTCAAGTCCATTTCTTTATTGAGAAACTGTCCCTAGACCCTACCATCCCCTCAATCTGCTTGCAGCTCTCTCCAGTCATTTGCAGTCTGGCATCTGACATCATTACTTAGCTCTGTCCAAAGTAAGTGGCAACTAAATTGTGAAATCTAGTGATCTTTTTTTAAAATCTGTACCTTTCTTGACTGAAATCTTTGAAATTTCTGACCATCCTCTTTTCCTGAATGCTCTCTCCCTCCTGGGTTTTCGTGAGATTATTTTCTTAATAATAACATTCATGCAATATTTCAAAATTTGCAAAGGACTGAGGCAGGATTTGAACCCAGGGCTTCCTAACTCCAAGTTCAACACTTTATCCACTGAGCTATCAAACTCCCTTGTTTTTTCTTCTACCTGTCTTACTCTTCCACCTCAGATTTCTTTCTTCACTTATCACCCATATCACACCCCTTACCTCTAAGGTTCTATATTGGGCCCTCTTTTCTTCTCTCCACATTCTCTCTCTTGCTAGATTGGTGATGCAGTGCATAGCATGATGAACTTGGGAGTCAGGAAGACCTGAGTTCAAATCCTGTCTCAGACACTTCCTAACTATGTGACCTTGAGCAAGTCACTTAGCCCTGTTTCCATCTAGAGAAATGCAGATAGTCATAGCACCTACCAACCAGGGTTGTTATTAATATTAAGTGAGATAACATATGTAAAGTGCTCTGCAAATCTGAAAGGATTATATAAATGTCAGTTATTATTGTTATTATTATTGATTATTCTTATATTGGTGTACTTCATCAGGGCCCTGGATTTAATCATCATCTCTATGCTGACGACTCCTAGATATCTACACTTAGCCCTAACCTCTCTTTCTTGAGCTTTAATCACACATCTCCAACTGCCTTTTGGACTTTTCATGCTGGATGACTTGCAGGCATGTCAGATTCAACATATCTAAAACACAACTCATTATCCTTCCCTCAAAACCAATTTGTCAAAAAAATTAAATAAATAAATAAACCGATTTGTCTTCCAAACTTCCATGTTCTGTTGAAAGCAGCTCTATTCTTCCAAATAAGGTTTGCAATTTCATGTGGTCATCATTCTCATCTTCCCTTTCCCTTATCCAGTCAGTTCCTACGTCTTGTTGTTTCTATCTCCCCAACACCTCTCACGTCTGTCCCCTTCTCTCCACTCAAACAGCCACAGTCCCTCTTCACCTCTCACCTAGATTATTATGTCAGCCTTCTCATTGACCTCCCTGCCTTAAGTCTTTTCCCCATTCCAATCCATCGTACATGCAGCTGCCAGAGAGATTGGTCTAACTACATCATGTCCTAATTCGATAAAGTTCATTGATTCCCTTATACTTCAAAGGTCAAAGATGCACTACTGTATTTAGTATTTAAAGCCAATAACCTCACCTGCAACACCCTTTCCAGCCTTGTTGTACACTTCTCCTCCTCATGTGTACTACAATACAGCCAAACTGGACTTCTTACTCTTTTCATACATGATTCTCCCTCATCTCAGTGCCCATCCCCCATGCTTGGAATGCACTACCTGCACACCACCACATCTTGAAATCACTATAGTACTTCAAGATTCAGTCCAAATGCCACTTTCTTTGTGAAGCTTTCCTTGATTACCCAACTGCTAGTTTCTTTCCCCCAAATTCCCTTTTACCTTTTACCTATTGTGCATGACTACATATATATATATATACATATATGTACTATAAACATATGTGCATGTGTATATGTGTGTGGTAAATTGTGAATGTATTATGTATGTATGTGTATGAATATATGCATGTATATGTTATTTCCCCTAATTGAATGTAAGCTTCTTGAAAGCAGGAACTGTTTCCTTTTTGTCTTTGTATCCCCAGTGCTTGGCATATAATAGGTAAGTTTAATAGATGATTGTTGTTTGCTTGATTGCTGGACATGACCTGATTTATGAAGGACTAGTCCCAAGTGTGTTCTAACTATAGATCATAGCCTAGCATGGCTGGAGAATGGGGCAAGGCAGGGTATTTGGTCCCATCTTACTGGAGTTCCAAAACAGTTGTTTCCCTATTGAACCCCGTGTCTATCTATGGACAACAGCAATAACCAAGTGGCTGCTTTGACCCTCAGC